TTTGAGGGGAGGGCGGAGGCTTTGAGGCACGCGTTACGAGGTGGATCGATTTTGAGTGCAGTATGTTGCGTACACCAGGACGTTCCACTACACTGGCACCTACTGATGACTATACTGGGCAACTTAAGGTCAGATATAGCCTCAGTCCACACGTTGGAGCACAGACGTCAGTATTATGAAATCGATTGATATTTGTGTTTTAACGTCCGAAAACCACCATATGATTATTAGAGACGCCGAACTGAAGTGCTCCGAAAATTTCAACTACTGGGGTTCTTCAACGGGCATCCCAATCTGAGCCTACGGGTCTACAGCATTTTCGACTCCATCGAAATTGCAGCCGCCGCAGCCGGGATTGGATCCCGCGACCTGCGGGTCAGCAGCCGAGTACCTTAGCCGCTAGACTATCCCGGCGGGGCGTATTATGAAACTACGTGTGCTTTACCGTGTGACGATGTGAACACCACACGTAAATTAACTTTCGTCAGCGAGTATCCCCGGGGTCCAGTAACACTTGAATACAGCTAGCTAAATCAAAGTACTAAGAATACATTGTTTATTAGACTACTGTAATAATGGAGACAACATTGAAACCACCATTGACGTTTACCCGGCATGACGTCTGCCCCACCGCGTGGTCTAGTGGCTAAGGTACTCGGCTACTGACACGCAGGTTGCGGGATTGAATCCCGGCTGTGGCGGTTGCAATTCTGATGGAGGCGGAAATGTTGTAGACCCGTGCGCTCAGATTTGAGTGCACGTTAAAGAACCCCAGGTGGTCGAAATTTCCGGAGCCCTCCACTACGGCGTCTCTGATTGTCATATGCGGGTTTGGGGACGCTATAATCCACATATCAATCAATCCGACATGGCGTCTGCATCACACATATGTATTGTTTATTGCTTTCTTATAAAATGAAACAGTCAGCACTACAATCCCAATTGCAGTTGCATCGACGTTGCACCTACGTAGCGTCTTTTTTTATCTACTTTCAACACATGGCATGGCTCTGTGATAGAATAGCCGCTTTCCAAGCAGAACGCTTGAATTCGGGTCCTGATGCTGAGATTCTGTTTTTTCTATCATTGAATTCACCAGGTCAATGCTGTCGACATCAGTTTCTCTTAAAGCTCGCATATTCAAGGTACCAGTGTCTGTCTCCGTGGTTCGGGGGTAGATGTAAACTGTCAGTCACATGCGGCACATATCAGGGTACCACGGCCCGTCGTATACGGATATGTGCCACACGTGTCTGGAGGAAAGGGTGTCATAACGTATTTCCCGGTATTTTAACGTTATCAATATTGTGACCACACAGCGGTATTCCTCAAACTCTCTTACGATTCCATACCAGTTTTGGTCTACGACAAGCTGAAGAGGAAAGCGCACTCGTGTAGGTGGCTGGATATTACATATAAACAATAAAAGTGCCTGCAGTTAGCTGAGAAATGCTCCGAATTTGATAAAAGTAATTACTTTCGCTTTTCTTCATTTTCGTACATGTATTGAAAATTCTTTACGTACTTTGCTGAATTAAACAGATTAGCGTTTTGTGCGCTTTTGTATATCTGACGCCCAAGTATAAAACTATTGCGTGTTGTTGCTGTTCTTTGAAAGAATAGTTAATAATATATTTCCTGTATATACCAGCACGACTTACAATCTTTGTCCTGACAAAGATATCAAGCGGCGGCCTGCAATCAACGTGAGAAAGACGTACTAAAGTTACGCCGCACAGTACGTGCAGGCATATTAAAAAAATGACACATAACTTTACAAACAAATAATGTAAAAGAACACACGTGGGAAACAGCATAGATAGTAAGTAGAGCAGAATTGGCATTGCAACAATAAAAACATAGCATACAATTAATGATAAATTCGGGATGAACGCACTGTCCGTGGTAGACTTCATTGGGGTTTGCACATCCGATCTGCGGCCCCATTTACCACCCACGGCGTGGCGCCACTTATGGCTCAACGCAGCAGCGCAAAAGTTGGCAACGGCTGATTAGCGGTCCGTAGACGGCTCACTGTAAATGGTATGTGGTTCTGATTTGATGGATATGTAGGATTTAGAGTCACAAAACCACCATATGATTATGAGAGACGCCGTGGTGGAAAGCTCTGAAAGTTTTGACCACTTGGTGTTTTTTAACGTGCACCTAAATCTGAGCAAACGGGGTTACAGCATTTACGTCTCCATCCAAAATGTAGCTGCCACACCCGGGATTCGATTCCGCAAACTGCGAGTCAGCAGCCTAGCACCTTAGCCACTAGACTACCACGGTGAAGTGGCCTGTCATGATTCTACTGAAACATCAAGTCTGAGGTTGTCGGCGTGAAACATTGTACGCAGCCTTCTGGTTACGAAGTTTACAATATAAACATAAGATATTAGTCATCTTGCACACAAATACATGAGATCCCTTAACGATACTTTTCGTTGAACACACACAGTCTCAAAAAGTTTTCAACTTGTTTCTATTCTGGAGCCCCACGCAGGAAGACAGTCCCGTCTTTGGAACAGTAAGTTCTTGTTTCTTGTTCATTACACACTGTTAATTCAAAAATATAATTTCCACGCGTCAGTAACCACCGTTGTACAGAAAAAACTCAGCGTCATCGCGAGGGCAAAGCAACCAATGCGATAGCATCAAAATGTGGTGCTATACGAAATCAGGCTGGCAGTTAACTCTCATGGATTTTGCTTTCACCGTAGAGCTCAAAACACTGGAGTAAGTGAATACGGCCGCTCCACTGAGAGATGCTGTTCCTACACAGTCTCGACGTGTTGAGAGCGCCGCACGTAAAAAAAAAAAATGCTCGTTCAAGACGGGCGGCGCGTTTCCTCTCTGTTTCGACGGCAGGCTTCCCAGACGGGGCGATGTTATCACATTCGCCCACCGAGCGACGGAGATGCGTTCGTCGACCACGCCCGTGCGCTGCGACCCACCGTAGGGCGTAAGACGTGCGCGGAATATAATCAATAAAACAATCAATCAGTTTTTATTCTTACGAAGAGGGGATCGTTACAGAATATAGAATGTACAGGCGTGACTCCCGAAGTATTAAAATGCAATGGGACCCTGGTGATGGTTACCAATGAATAAAACTAGGATTAGCAGCAGCTTGAACCATAAAAACTTAATTTGCAATACACATACGAAAAAACAAGTCATCAAATCCAAGTGTACAAAATATGATAATATAATATACAGCCAAACAGTTCTGGTAAAAATAAAACAAAGGGAACGCTATAAATTTAACAAATATTTTTTGATGAGTTTTTGAAAAAAAATTACGTTTGAGCGATTAGAATAAATCATTTCATATTGAGATAGCACAGAGCTGTGACAATAATTTACCAGCCCCGCCGTGGTGGTCTATTGGCTAAAGGCTAAAGTACTCGGCTGCTGACCCGCAGGTCGCGGGATCGAATCCCGGCTGCGGCGGCTACATTTCCGAAGAGGCGGAAATGTTGTAGGCCAACGTGGTCAGATTTGGGTGCACGTTGAATAACCCCAGGTGGTCGAAATTTCCGGAGCCCTCCACTGCAGCGTCTCTCATAATTATATGGTGGTTTTGTGACGTGAAACCCCACATATCAAATCAACGATCGTTTACCATAGTTAGTATGAACTTTAGGTAACAGAAAGGTATTATTAGCCGCAAGACTAGTCGTGTTTGAGTTAGTTAAAAGCTCTAAATCAATTATGGTGGTAGAAAGCTCATGTGTTTATTTTTATGCAAAAGCATAATTGTATTGAGCCTAAATAAGTTGTTAACATTTAGAATGTTGTTGTCGTGAAAAAGGTGAGTGGTGTTACTGTTGTGAGGACAGTTGAAAATAAGTCGGAGGGCACGATTTTGTATATGCTGTATGAATTAAACGTTACACTGATAACTGTTTCCTCAAGAATTGATGCCGTAACTGATGCGAGAATGTATGAACGTTAGGCACATAGACAGGAGTGCATTATGAAAAAACATATGAGCAAGCTTTAAGGTATTCAGGAATGCCAAATGTTGTCATTTTTCGAACGTGTGCAATTTGAAGATCGAATTCAAGTTCAGCATTGAGGTGAATGCCAAGAAAATGCTGCCCTGTCACTGTTACTAATGAAATGAGAGTCAATTACTATTACTGGTCAAAAAGTTACGTTTAGGTGCCCTAAAAACGGTAAACTTAGGCTTACATGGATTGATAAATTGATGATTTTTATGACATTACTAGGCACGCTATAAAGTGCATCATATAATTTATCAGAGAGAGTAACAATACATCTAGCAGCAAAAAAAAATGGAAGTATTGTCACCATATAATATGCAGTGAGCCAGAGGTAAAATGCCAGAAAGGTCAATATTATAAAGTTAAAAGTGTAACAAACCCAGTAATGAACCTTGAGGCACCCCTTGATTCATTACATTAGTAAATGAAAGTAAATTTTCTATACAGAGTATGCTTTCTCTTACTGGGGTAACTGCTCAAACATGAGGGGTGAACCAGTGACGCCGTATGTCTCGAGTTTCGTGCACCGAACTGTCATGACTAACGGTGCCAAAAGCCTCTGGGAAGTCCAGTTTGGACTTTGTATGGGACATGACGGACGGTGATGACCAAACTCGTTGACAATGTCCATATATTTTTTCTATCGTAATAATAAATGAAGTGACAGATACAGTGCTCTAATATTTTGGAGACATTTATTATTTTAAAGAGGTATACAAACTACGGGAAATGCGGGTCTAGACGCCGAATAGATGCGTCACGGCAATGCAAAAACAGACGCTTTGCTTTAAAGCATTTATCAAGGAATAACGTAATGAACAAGTGTTTACCACTAGTAATTGTATGCATGGCAGCACGGCGGCACATCTAACACGCGTTGCAATTGGATCGACGTTTCACATGATGACCGTTCAGTCTGGTGTGCGCGGGGAAATATTGACATTTTTAGGGGGTAATCCTGAAATTTTCTCAGTGACAACGTGGTGGCTACTTGGACTGCTTCCTCTTCGGTTGTGTCTGGGAGGCTGACGGGCCGGCAACAACATCAGCAGAGTCCTTCTTGGAGGGCTTGAAACATTTTGGGGCGTCCTTAGGCCCGCCTGCTGGTTTGCCAGAGCGAGTGCGGCTTCTTCCTGTTTTGCTCGGTGCGTGAATAGCAGCGAACTTAGGCGGAATCCCCTGTTTGGAGTCACTTTGACGCACACTACTAGTTTCCACAAACGTCCTAGAGGGCGGCCGTGGCAGCCTAGTCTGTGAGGAACGTTTGGAGAACACCGGGGCTCCGCCAGCTGCCGGAGGTGCAGTAGACACGCTGCCTTGAACCTCGTTGTTTTCAGTGACAGCCTGCACGAAGCCGTTGACAGCGCGCGACACCGGCACGCCGTCCTCAAAACGCAGCACCATCTTCACGCTGTCATCAAGGGTGGTACGCGTCTCGATGCGCTTGCCGCCTTCGTACCAGGCGGAGAGCATTTCCTGCGTCGGAACGCCAGTGAAACCAGGCGCCACGCTCATGCCAGCCGGCACGTGCGTGGCGAAGAACACGTCATCCATATTGTACAAAAATCCCGGGCGTCGGCCACCACTGAAGCTCTGTTGCCAGAAAGGCAGGCCACCGGTCAGAATGGTAGTACCACGTGCTTCCTTGGCGACACCCTGGTCCTGTCGACCGAACAGATCCTGGAATGGGCCACCTGCCGTTCCGAAGAAGTCTCTGAAAACTTCACGTGGATCGCGAAAGGTGAACGCGTACGTGGCCCCGTTCAAATTGGTGCTGGGTGATTGGGTCTGCGGCTGAGCGTCGAAGGCGCTCTTGCCGAACTGGTCGTACAGGCGCCGTTTGGCTTTGTCCGAAAGAATCTCGTACGCCTCGGAGACAGCTTTGAAGTGCGCCTCGGCCGCCTCCTTTCCTTGAGGGTTCTTGTCCGGGTGCAGTCTGAGCGCCAATCGCCGGTAGGCGCGTCGTATTTCTTCCTGCGAAGCATCTCGTCGCACTTCTAGGATTTTGTAGTAGTCTTCGGTCATGACTTACAGCCCTTGCTGGGGACTTGCCATCTACGGGAGACAAATTTAGCCGACCTTTCTTAGACTTTTGATGCATGTTCCTCGGCTTCTTCCTCCACTTCACTTCAATGCGTAAAGCCACTTGGTTTGCTTGTTTGCTCCATAGTACTGGCTCCTACCCACAATGAAGGATTGGCTAAAAAATATGTGGTTGATGTAAATATAAACATAAGACAAATACAGGGTATATAAGGCCACTACTGCAGAACTTTGACTTCATCTAATAATAATAAACCAACATCAGAATCTGACAAACACGTAAAGGTCTGAGGCTGTGCTAGTCTGCCTTAAAAAAAAGAAGTTTCAGTATTGTTTGTTATAACAAATGAATAACACTGAAACGCAATGAACGTTATGAGTAAGACAAAAGCAATGGATATACAAACCGGTACTATTTCGAGCCATTTTGGTATAGCTAGATTTAGTGTTACCACTTTCATGATTGCTAGCCTATTGTTTTGTTGCGATAGCAATTACATGAACACTCTCAGCGAGATTTTGCCGCCGGTGTCAGCGTCGCTGTCACTCACCGTATAAGAATCTCTATAAAACGAACCAAAAAATGCTGAAAAAGACTCCGGTGCGCGAAATCAATCGAGGGACCTCCGGGTCTTGAATGTGAGGTGTTAACCACTGAGCCACCAAGGGCGCCTGGTTCTATATTTTAACAGCAGGCTATTTATATATACCACTTATCGCTGTTGGCGGGCATCTCGGGGGGGGGGGGGGCATCGTGTTTTCAGCATTATCAGCAAGAAGGCACAATGAGCTCGCGGTGGCTTTTATCTCTCACGCGTACTTTGGCCTACGGAGAGGTGGGGAGTGGCCAATCTCTCGCTCGCGCGCCCTTATCTGCATGTGGGGAGGATCATACGTGTTGGCTGGCGTTGGCTTGTACTGGAACTATTCTGTTGTAGTTATGGGGCGCAAAAAGGTCAGTGCAATCGTTGCACAGCCTCCGTTTGCGAAAAAGGCGCGCTTTTCAGACACAGCGAAGTAACTTATTCGCGTACATCTGTACCTGTGAGTACGTTTCGTGCGTCATTTGTGCGTGAGAAACGTGGGGCACGTTTCGATCTGCTTTCCACTGTGCGCGTGACCTTCCGATTTGTTGTTATCACGTTCATTGCTTCGCCTTTGCGGCAAAGCTGTGACTTTTTTAGAGACGGCGTCTACACATATTTCATAGTAAATATTATTTAATGGACATTTTTATTAAACCCCATGAAACATATCACATGGCAGCTATGTCAACGGCTCACACTAATTAGATGCTAGACCACTTGAAGGGTCTCCCTGGATATGTATAGGTAGCCAACCGAGCCCAGCTTGGTTAAACTTCCTGCCTTTCCTCTCTATTTTTCTCTCTCTCTCTCCCTTGGCATACAGTGCGCTGTTATAGTTTTGCGAACTCTTTAGCATCGAGAAATACTACAGCGAATACAAAACTGACCTTAATTAGTTTCTGTTTACGGGAAATTGTCAGCCGGAGTTTGCATAATTTTTTTATAGTGATGAGATGAGAATGAGAGAAATTCAAGTAATTTACGCCTTCACCAGCAAATTACCCGACCCTTGGCCAGTTATTCGGGGTAGAGGGGGGGGGTGCTTTTACTTAACAGTTTCAGAATCTGCATCATATAAATACTGAAGATTGTATTCAGTCATTGCAAATCAATAAGCGTTATCTTGTTCAGCTCTAAGCTCAGCCTCTTGTAGCATTAGGTAAAGAAATGGCGGCCTTCCCTACGGATGCGCACATGTTTTTTCGCAAATTATGTACAATCTTGTAAGCCCGAGTCTGTTTACAGCCCATCTATCAGTGGCTGATGCATAAGCACGGCCTCATTCTGGTGTTTTGGTTACGCACGGCATATTAGCATTGCCGAATTCATAGCTTGAATTTAAAACTGACATACGTAGGCTGCTTGCTTTGCAGAAGTTTCGTAAAAATGAACACTTTATTTAGATAAGAAAGCTGCCAAAAATATTCACGCACTGTGTTGCCATACGATGATATTGTCTGCTCTCATCTGATGTTTGTGCTAGCAGTGCGTATAAGTAGATATGCATGGTGCTTTAAGGGCGAAGCTCATTAGGCGTGGGTCTGTACATTCTCCGATGTATGTAGTAGTAGTAGATAGCTACCGTTGCGCAGTCACATGTACAACAGGGGATGTGAAATGTGAGAGGGCGGTACTTGAAGTGTGCCCTAGATGGACGCACGAACGTATGCACGGACGGATGGACAGACAGGCTAGGGGACGTACGAACGAATGGACGCCCAAATGGATAGACATACGGATGGACGGACTCATGGTCGGACGCACGTAAAGACGAACGGAGGCATGAATGGTCACAGGGATGCCCGTGCAGATAGACGGAAGCAAGAACTAATGGACGGATGGATGCACGGATGGGCTGATGGACGCATCGCCCCTCTCATCATCATTCACTCCGAGGATATGCTGTAATTTTCACTTAAGACCCCGGTGCCTCATACAAACTTTCGATTAAGAAACCTGTATGAAGCACTTGGCATCTTTGCAGACAATTTGTAGGTCCAGGAGGAAAGATTTTATTGCGAAATAAATCACTCAGAAATAATTATTACCTAAAATACTTTAATTACCCTTTTCTACTATCAAAATTAGGGTGGTTTTTTACAATTCCAAGTTGTTCTACGTCAAAAATGAAGATCAGCAGAGTTTTCTAAAATAAGAAATCAAATCTGCGGCATCGTGGTCTGGAATTTTGACAACAGATCTTTAGAACTACGCTCAATATTTTAAATTTTTATAAAATAGGCTAGCCATAATTTATGGCGTGGAGCAACTTCTTCTTATAAACAAGCATCCTGAAATTGATAATAGAAAAATTAATGGGACTGTCTACTATTCGGAATATTTTTTTCCTATTGTGGGCAAATGAGAAGATCGTTCATCACATCAGCGGCAGCGCGCATGTTCTTGTCCGATAAAAAAAAGAATTTATCATTTTAACTTCTTGTTGAACGCCGACGAAAAATGACCGCTAGCGTCACCTAACAGCGACGCCGTCAATCTACTGGTAAGACAAGAATTTTTGGCAGGTTTACTCTTTTGCTTAAAAACAAACATTTGTAAATTTAAACTGTGTTTTACGCACTTGAGGCAGCTTTAGGAAGCGCCAGAGAATAATTTTTGGTCATTTTTTTTGCGAGTTGAAGTTCAAAAAGGCGCCTGGTGGCGCTACCGGCAGTGTGTTCATTTGCCTGCATGCCTTCCAGCAAGCTATAGAGGAACGCGAGCAAGCTGTCGGCAAGCGCTCATAAGAACAACAAAAAGTGTGTACGCCTCTCAAACGACCACAAAGGAATTTATTATATTAATAAACAAAACTGGATGGTGCCCGCGAAAACCGCACCCGCTTTCTGTTTTCGACTTTCACCGGCAGTACATGTGTTATCGTCTCCACAAACCAGTTCTTTGGGAATTCATCCCACTGATGGAAGGAGACGAAAGCAGATTGAAAAGTTAAGTATTACAGGGACCCTCCAACACTTTTTGAGCACGATTAGAAAACGCTGCCGATCGGTAGTAGAGGCTCCCGACAACACGTGAGCCAATTATTATTCAGGCACGTGGCCTGAATTTCGCAATAAATTATTAAAGTCAGCCGAAAATTGCTTTCGCTTCTCTCGACAAGTGACGGAAGACGCTCAGAAATTATCCGTAGAACGCCCATCGATCAGCCATTAGCTCATTTGAACATGGCGCGCTCAGTCGTTACAGAGATCACTGCACGAGGCTGCGACTTGTCCACACGTGCACGCGCGATGACACTGAAAAGCTGTGCATTCAAAAAAAAAAGAAAAAACGTGCTCAAGGTCACGAGGTGTGTGTGACGTATTATCTTTGCCCCTGCCATCCCTCCCTGCTTAGCTTCCAGTGTTTTCGTCGGGACGAGAGAAGAGAGAATTCAATTGCAGCATGTCACAATTCTTTGTAACTCCACTCGCACTCCATGGATTCTTAAAAAATTTGCGGTGTTGAATTCATGAGGCAAGAAGCGCTTCCAATTAATTCATTTCATGGTTACTTGAAAAGGCGTTTCAAGGCCCCTTAAAAGTTTTTACAAACTTTCAAGAAAAACCACAGCAAGTTTAGATACTTCAGATGGTGCGCTTTTAATTGCGACACGAAACAGATCGTCAGTGATGGATGGTAGATAGTCCCCTTAAATGAAATATTTTAGTTGTATAAACATTTATGAGTGATCTAATAAGTGAAAAAGCGTTTCCGCATCGGCCTGCAAATTGTCTGTGAAGTCTACAAGAGCTTAATTATTATATATTTTAGAGAAAATTTATATTGCTTAAAAATTCATGTCCAAGCTCTCCGTACAAATAGTTAACCAGCTAAAGCTGAAAGGTGCGGCCGCGGTATTGAGCAGTGGTTTCCAAACGATGCTGTACTGAATCATTTCACAATTATTGATTACATGTTCATGCTTCTCAATGGGGCTAAACGTCGTTTGGCTCGGGTTTATAACAGTGTTTATTTCAGATGCCACACATAGAGCCTCGCATGACCACAGTCATGGATATAAAATATCATCATCAAACGCCGGAAGAAGAAGAAAGAAGACTGCTGCCTAGAGCGAGCGCGCGCTACTTCGCTTCTTCCAATAAACCGTATTCGTTCGAAGCAGTCCCTGGTCTCGATCCTCTTAATAATGGTGCCGTGAACCAGGATACTACCTCCTCGCCGGCAAGAAAGGTCAACCTGCCACGGAGCAGCAGAGAAGAAAACGGCGGAGGAGCAGAGGATCGACCTGGATCGAGCGACGAGACCACGGTGGACAGTACGAGCATCAGAACGAACGATTGACAAGTGAGGAGTCCATTGTTAACCGGCTCAATATGAGTAAAGAAGTGATAACGAATTAAAGGAAAGCGCTTCGCTCCCAGATCACGCGAC